CAGGAACCTCCAGGACTCTTCCCTCTCTGCTGTTTTATATTTCCAGCAAATATCTGGGAAGTTGAAGTCTCCTAAAAGTACAAGGGGAAGCAATCACAAAGCTTCTCCCAGCTGCCTATGGAATATTTTGTCTATCTCTTCATCCTGGTTAGGTGGTCTATAGCAAACTCCCACCATGATATCTGACTTGTTGGCCTTCCCCTTGATTTTCACCCATAGGCACTCAACCCTGTTGTCACTATCACTAATCTCTAGGCAGTCATAGCCTTCCCTAACATACTTGATCACCCCACCACCTTTCCTTCCTTGCCTATCCCTTCTGAAAAGCTTATACCCATCAATGGCAGCACTCCAGTTGTGTGATTCATTCCACCATGTTTCCGGGATAACTACTACATCGTAGTTATTCCGATGCACAATAGCTTCCAGCTCCTTCTGCTTATTGCCCATGTAGACAAGAAGTAGTGAGACAACTGGATGTCTTCTCTGTGCTGCTAGTTATGGCCAATATAAAGAATTCTCCCGAGTGTCCTTCAAACCAGCAACTAAGAGAAAAGCCAGAACCCCTGTGGCTTTTACTTAGAGCAGAAGTGATGTTCCCTGACAAATACAACAGGACTATAAATCCTGTTCTGTGAGGTGCCGAACACTGAAATAATCCTACCTGAAAGTCTAAAGCCTCTTTGTCGTCGTTTCATCTTAATTCACCAAGTACACAATAATTGTGAGTAACATGCAGTTGAGAGAGAAGAACTATTGAAATATAGATGTATGGAATAAGCTTTCTGTAACAGTTACTAAAATGTTCATGCACAGAATTGAATCATCTTTTGTCTGATTTAAATTTGGCTTAAGATACCTTTTCTTGTAGGGCTGCTGTTTGAAAGGCAAAGTAGACAGGCAGTTGGATCCTGGCCACCACAGACCCCAACCACAGCCATTCAGCCTTGCTGCAACCCATGCTACAGAGTGATGCTTGGGTTTCTCTGAGTTTTATGAACTTGAAAATGCAACTTTCCTGTCTTGTCTATTTTTTTTTGACTGACAAATTCATTACATTCACCATGTAGAAAGAACAGAAAAAGAAATTAAAAACATAATCCACAGTTTCCACTGTATCAAAAATTAGGTCAGAGAAGGGAAAGCAAAGCAGTTGTACATCAAAACTTGCAAAAAATATGAGGCAAATGCATGCGTGGCTGTGCCTGGCTACTTGCTACAGCAATGTGAGTAGGAGTAGTGGGTAAGAATCATGGTATAGGTTAGATCAGTACTGCACTGGGTAGGAAGACCTCTAGCAACACTTAAGACCTTCAGGGCTCCAGGCAAGGACTGTGCAAAAAGGATTTGGAATGCCAGGGTCACTCTATGCTAGGTGAACAGGGATTAAAAACACAAAGGAGGGGTGTTAGAGGAATAAAGGATATTATAAGCAGATGAGGGAGAAATCTTCACATAGGTAACTTAGTTTAGTTGTTGGCATAGTGGTATCAGAGTTCCCATCACTGTGGAATGATCCAGGGGGACTGCTTTAATACAATTTTGTTGGGGAGGCAGAGGAGGTAGGTAGAGGTTTGTCCATGTATTTTGCAGATTCCATACTGTATGTGATTTAATGTTAGCTTTGTCAGACAACCCAGAACAGTGATTGTTCTTTTGTGTGTTTAGCTATGGTTACAGTAGAATTAGGAATACCAAGTCATACCCAAAAAACTGGCTAAGTTGTATAAATACAATGTCTATTGATATTCATTTTGTTTCTTTACAGCTGGCGTATATAGGCTACTTGATGCTGTTCAATTATATAGTATTAGTGAAGATGGATCGCTGGCCATCTACACAGGAATGGATTGTCATCTCATACATTTTTACTCTGGGAATAGAGAAGATGAGAGAGGTAAAATTACCCCAGCCAAGAAAGACAGAATGAAAAAACAAATATGCATGGGTTTTTTTCATTTTAATATCTCCTTTTATTATTTTCCTCAGGATAATTTTTGTTGAATTAGCTTATCATAATATTTCCATTTTTTTGCAGAAAATCAAATGGACTGTTAAAAGCACAGCACTAAAAAACCCATCTTCCTTCATTTTAAAATCAAGACCTCTCGTTCTCTTTCTCCAGTGAAAATTCTTTGTTCAGATTTCTGTATGATGCACATTTAATAACATTCACAAGTATGGGGCAGTCTTCTGCTGTATCTTAAAGCTTAGCCATATTCCTTGAAATGTGGCCCAGAAACTGAAGTATGTTTCAGGGAGAGGAAAAGGAGATATGTTGTAACAGAAAGGACACAGAGACATGGTGACAGCACGACAACTGAAGGCTGATGTTTGAAACCCCTCCTCAAACAGAGTACACTCAAAATTTGCAGCTGCTCTGTCTGTCCAAGTATCTCATGCAAAGGCTTTAAATAAAATCAGCCCCATAGCTGGGGGGAAGTTTAGATCCCCACTGAATACTGAAGCACATTTCTAATAGGATTTCCACCTTTTAATTTTAAAAATTTTTGCTAATTATGTCTAGCAGTAGCATCCATCTCCCTAAAGATGCTGAAGCAGACACATAGAGCAGAGACAGAGCATTTTAGATGGCACTCAGTGTATAGGCAGAGTGAAGTTGTCCTACCATCCCCTTCCCTTCATGGTCTCTCCCACTTGCAGCTACTGCTGTGCCCTTTTTTTTGGCCAAATGCACATTTATTCCACAATGACACCAGAGGCCAAATTCAGCCCTGATGTGAGTGGGTGCAAGTCCCATTGACCTCAACTGAAACCGCACATTTGTATCCCTGGGCAGAATTTGTTACCATCTACTTTTGTATTTTCTGCAGCAAATGTTTTCGAGGGCTAGACTAAAAATGGTCTTGCAACCACCACTTAGACTTCAAACACAGATTTCAAACACTCTATGGTAAACTCTACATTAGAAAGAAAAAGAAAACAGGAAAAGACACTACTTGTGTGGCCTGTAAAGAGTGTACTTCACTAACCAAAAGAAAAAGGAAAACAGAGACAGTGACCACATGGGGACTCTGTAACACTGATGGGGACAAAGCACCGCTGGTTCAGTAGGTGGGAGGCTACTAGCAGGAAACGTTTGCCTTTTTTGTCTAATCATTGACCCCAAATTGTTCTTTTCCACAAAAGTTTATCAAGAACAATATTCAGGATGGATTTCTAACCAGATGTTGGAGATTATGCACAGAATACGAGTCTAAAAGTCATTATGAAAATGAATTCTGAGAAAATTGTAAGAATGGCATTCATCTTTTTAAGACACCGTATGACTCTGCTCAAATGTTCTCAGACTAAATATAGAAAATTAAAACAAACAGCTTGTTAACTAAAAGCTAGGAATTATTCATAGAAATCTCTTGAGGAATATTTTCAACGGTAATTGGAGAAAACAATCAAGTCTCTCAAATGATCTTGCAAATAAAATGACAATAAATTCATAAGGTAAAAATAATTATTTCTGTGAATTACATTCTCAGCTGTGGAACTTAATTTACAAAAACAGGTCCAAGTAGTAGATAGCATCTCTCTGGATTAAATGCTAAATCCAAATCTTTATGGTTATTAATTATTTCTTGACAGTTTAATAGACATTTTAGAATAATTTAAATTTACAGCTTATTTAAATGTGAGTTTTCTGATGAAATCTCTTTCTATATTTCTGCCTTCTACACTAAGCAGGTTCAATAAATTTGAAAAATAGAAGGATGCACATGTATTTCTTGTGATTTCATGGAGATTTTAGAGCGAGTGAGGTTTTCATCCTTTTAAGTATCTTGCACATAGATACAAGCTAAGAATGGCTGAAATGGAAGATTTCTCAAGAAAATCAGAGAGTGCATGAGATATTTATATGATAGGATTCCATCAGCTTTGCTTTTGGCCTGTGTGGAATGTATCTATGATAGATTTCTTCAAGCTTAAATTCAGACATCTCAGTTCCTTTCCTCTCTATGTCATCTGCCCTTCAGATATTGATGTCAGAGCCTGGGAAACTGCTACAGAAAGTAAAAGTTTGGCTTCAGGAGTACTGGAATGTTACTGATCTCATAGCTATCCTCCTATTCTCCGTTGGCATGGTGCTCCGCCTGCAGGATCTGCCGCTCCGGAGTGATGGCCGAGTGATATACTGTGTTAACATCATTTACTGGTATATACGGTTATTAGACATCTTCGGAGTAAACAAGTATTTGGGACCATATGTTATGATGATTGGGAAAATGGTAAGAGATGTTGGTGTACTCCTTCAATATTTTACCAGCATGTTCTTGTCTCGGTGTCTGTGACCAATGACGTCACTGCAGATTTATCTGCATTTTTTTTACACATTAGCATTTTCATGTAAGCTAGAAATCAGTGCCTTATTGAATCAAAATCTTAGCATAGACCCCCCCAGAACTGAGGATTAGACTCCTTGTTCTGTTGGATGATGTATTGCTTGGCTTTCTCTCAGATCTCTCTTCAACAGCAAAGCTATCCATCCTACACCTCTGTGCCTCATTTCCAAAAAATACGAAAGATTTTAATTCTCAGCTAGTTGTAAAGGAGGGTGGTTTGTTAAGGTAAAAAAAAAAAAGGTGTTTGGAGTCTTGAGCCTCTCAAAGAAAGTGTGTTATGATAGGTGTTGCTGTGTTCAAAACTATAATGGTTATGATTAAGACAGTGTCCTTCCTATAGTTCACTCCATATCTATATGTTCTTCGATCTTTCCTGTTCAGGTGTGTTCTTGTGACATGAGAAATCCATTTGCAAAACTGTAGGCTCTGTTCCCTGGCCACATCTCATGTACACAACATGGCAAGTGTATGACTAGTTTAGGAACTGAGAGATACTTGTTTCCAGATGCATAGCTTCTGACTGTTTGGCTTTTTCTTCTTTACATTTCAGTAGGAATGTTGCATTAAAGCAACATTTGGCTCACACGACTTAAAGAAAATGAATGAGTTTACAGATGTATGTGCACATGTCCCCGATATTTGAGCACCTGTACATGTAGCGAATATACATGCTCACATATTATATGCAGTTATCCAGCCTTTGTTGTGTAATTCATAGTTAGTTTCTTTTTTTAAATTGAATAGAAAACGCTTGAAGCAGGCATTCAGAAAAAAAGTAAACTGAATATTAACTCTTCTAAATACGAGTATTAGTGTTGTCTGATCGTAATGTGGACAACAATCAGCAGGTCCAATTAGGCTGTCTGTTGTGTTTGTCTTGCAAGGATCCTTAAAGAAAAGACCCAATCACCCTTCTTCCTTACCATCACAGGAAAACAGGACATACATGAATGCAAGGACTACAGTTCATCCTTGATATTGCATTAGTCACAGCAAACTCAGTGATTCTATGCAGTTATAAAACTGAAGGCAAAATATACATCCAGTTAGGCTCCTTACCAAACAGGAGACCAGAGGACCATTATCTTATCCCTTCAATTTACCAGATTTCAACTCCAAATTCATGGTGATGGGTTTGGCAAAGAAAGAACAGCTCAGTGGAGGAGGGGCGGGCAGGGGAGAAGAGGGAAAACACAAAAGAAAGTCATTTTTGAATGGTTACGTCTTCCAAACAGGATTTCGAAATGTGCTACCTTTCTTCAAGGAAGCCAATAAGATGTTGATGGGAGGGATTTTGCAGAGCTCCAGGGTGCAGAGGATAAAACACTCAACAGTTCCTGCTGGAGGCTACTGTAAAACGACAGCAGGGG